CTTCTCAATTCAGGGCAATTTTGTTGCCCCATGATATATGGGAATATGTGGGAAAGGATCAGAGAGACAGAAGAAAGTATCAATGTAAATAGCCCTTAGTTCAGTGCACATACTTGGCAAATGTATATGAAATTCTGCAATTATCATTATCATTCTGCAATTATTACAAACACAACTGTAGCTCGATGAAGCAGTTTTAGTATATAGATCATGCCTCTGCAATCTTACTGCTCAATTGTCTGCCATTTAAGTTAAATTACTTTTTTTTGCTTATGCAGCCCTAGCCACCCCTCCCCTGGCTGTGACTAACACAGCCTTCATAAAACGAATGGTGTCATTTTCAATCAGATGTTATTTTGTCTTCTGCTCAGTAAATTGAATCAGCATATCTAATGGCTAGTGTAGGAACTCACCTATTGAGGCTTGCCTTGACGTGGCTGGTGAGCTTATATATTCAAATGGCCATTAGAATAAAACTAAAGAGCCTCCATTTTTGTTTAAATGCACATGGGGATTTAGGCCAGAGCGCAGGTAACGTTTTCTTTGTTTTTTCTATGTATTTTAAGCTGTTGGATATTAAGGCACTGCTGCTGTAAGCGCGGTGCTTTATCTTTGTGTTTGTATATGAATTTTGTATCACTCAGCTATGTTACATTGCTGCCAGCCTTCCCACGTTTGTCTTATTAAGACTTTATAAGTATGTAGGGGCAGCACCCCTTCCTGTCTCATCAGAGAAATTTGCCTTTTAGCTGATACCAGCAAGGTGATTTGTATGTTATAGCCCTATTCAGGGTAAAGTATGTAGGAGTTTATAAAACACCCTTTCATGTCTCATTAGAGACGTCTACAGGGAGTGCAGAATTATTAGGCAAGTTGTATTTTTGAGGATTAATTTTATTATTGAACAACAACCATGTTCTCAATGAACCCAAAAAACTCATTAATATCAAAGCTGAATATTTTTGGAAGTAGTTTTTAGTTTGTTTTTAGTTATAGCTATGTTAGGGGGATATCTGTGTGTGCAGGTGACTATTACTGTGCATAATTATTAGGCAACTTAACAAAAAACAAATATATACCCATTTCAATTATTTATTATTACCAGTGAAACCAATATAACATCTCAACATTCACAAATATACATTTCTGACATTCAAAAACAAAACAAAAACAAATCAGTGACCAATATAGCCACCTTTCTTTGCAAGGACACTCAAAAGCCTGCCATCCATGGATTCTGTCAGTGTTTTGATCTGTTCACCATCAACATTGCGTGCAGCAGCAACCACAGCCTCCCAGACACTGTTCAGAGAGGTGTACTGTTTTCCCTCCTTGTAAATCTCACATTTGATGATGGACCACAGGTTCTCAATGGGGTTCAGATCAGGTGAACAAGGAGGCCATGTCATTAGATTTTCTTCTTTTATACCCTTTCTTGCCAGCCACGCTGTGGAGTACTTGGACGCATGTGATGGAGCATTGTCCTGCATGAAAATCATGTTTTTCTTGAAGGATGCAGACTTCTTCCTGTACCACTGCTTGAAGAAGGTGTCTTCCAGGAACTGGCAGTAGGACTGGGAGTTGAGCTTGACTCCATCCTCAACCCGAAAAGGCCCCACAAGCTCATCTTTGATGATACCAGCCCAAACCAGTACTCCACCTCCACCTTGCTGGCGTCTGAGTCGGACTGGAGCTCTCTGCCCTTTACCAATCCAGCCACGGGCCCATCCATCTGGCCCATCAAGACTCACTCTCATTTCATCAGTCCATAAAACCTTAGAAAAATCAGTCTTGAGATATTTCTTGGCCCAGTCTTGACGTTTCAGCTTGTGTGTCTTGTTCAGTGGTGGTCGTCTTTCAGCCTTTCTTTCCTTGGCCATGTCTCTGAGTATTGCACACCTTGTGCTTTTGGGCACTCCAGTGATGTTGCAGCTCTGAAATATGGCCAAACTGGTGGCAAGTGGCATCGTGGCAGCTGCACGCTTGACTTTTCTCAGTTCATGGGCAGTTATTTTGCGCCTTGGTTTTTCCACACGCTTCTTGCGACCCTGTTGACTATTTTGAATGAAACGCTTGATTGTTCGATGATCACGCTTCAGAAGCTTTGCAATTTTAAGAGTGCTGCATCCCTCTGCAAGATATCTCACTATTTTTGACTTTTCTGAGCCTGTCAAGTCCTTCTTTTGACCCATTTTGCCAAAGGAAAGGAAGTTGCCTAATAATTATGCACACCTGATATAGGGTGTTGATGTCATTAGACCACACCCTTCTCATTACAGAGATGCACATCACCTAATATGCTTAATTGGTAGTAGGCTTTCGAGCCTATACAGCTTGGAGTAAGACAACATGCATAAAGAGGATGATGTGGTCAAAATACTAATTTGCCTAATAATTCTGCACTCCCTGTATACTTCGTCTGATACCAGCAAAGTTTATTGAATGTGTAGAAGCCCTTTAAAGGGTTAAATGTTAAAGGGTTTATAAAACACCCCTTTCTGTCTCACTTTGTCTGATATCAGCAAAGTTTATTGTATGTGCAGAAGCCCTTTAAAGGGTTAAATGTTAAAGGGTTTATAAAATACCCCTTCCTGTCTCACTGGAGACTCTTGGCTGATATCAGCATATCTAATGGCTAGTGTAGGAACTCACCTATTGAGGCTTGCCTTGACGTGGCTGGTGAGCTTATATATTCAAATGGCCATTAGAATAAAACTAAAGAGCCTCCATTTTTGTTTAAATGCACATGGGGATTTAGGCCAGAGCGCAGGTAACGTTTTCTTTGTTTTTACTATGTATTTTAAGCTGTTGGATACTAAGCCACTTCTGCTGTAAGCGTGGTGCTTTATCTTTGTGTTTAAAGGCATGTATGACTGTACATTTTTCAGAGAACAGAGATAGCTAAATGCTTCTGCTGTCAGAATAGAAGTGTGTATCGCCTATTTCGTTAGTGTGGTTTACGCTGCCGTATGAGTAGTGCAGTATTAATGGCAACCATGTTGTTGCGGCTAGTTTGCTCTAAATGTTTGAGTGACTCATGTCGTGTGAGATGACTCATGTTCGGCTAGGCCATTGTACTGTCAGGGTAGGGTTAAATATCAAGTTAGTCCTGCCATAAGTATATGAATGGGTGAGTGTAAGAATGCGTCCCGTGTTTAAGTCATATGAAAAGGTCAAGGCTCTGTAAAATGCGTCGGGCCTGGTTGAGCTCGTGTTCCTATTTTGCGGTCAGTTTGGTCCCTGCGCTGTAACATTCTAAGTAAATGCGCATTTACAGTGATAAGATCATTTTGTGGTTTTAACGCTATTATAAACAAATAACGATCATGGACATTGGTCCCTCCCAGGGGTCCTTACGGGCTGTCCTGAATGGAGGACTGAGAGTCTCTGGGTGTGGGGTGGCGACTGTCACAAGATGGTCGAGTGCCCTGGGGCTGCTTAGGGCGTTATCGTGTGGCTCTGCGAAGTCCCTCCTGAGTTCCTCTCTCTGAGTAGGCGAAAGTCCTGGTTTTTCGTGGTCTCTCAAGCGACCAGCAGTGTGATGCCGTCAGGTACAAAATAAAAGTCCATGGAAAGAAAAACAAAAAGAACTGGGTATGAAGGAAACTAAAGTCTGATGATAGGCAGGAGCGGCCGCGGTTCGCTGTCACTGCGCCTCTTTAGGACAGTATAGTGCCGCTTGGTGCCCCATTCCTCTCTGCAGGGTTGCCTGGCTGCCCCTTCAGCGGGACAAATGGCTTGGTCCTTGCGGGGTCCCAGTTGTGCTTCTTGCTTCTGGCTTCCGCTGGGCTTGTCGGCATAAGGGAGTTGTCTGGCAGGCCAAGTGTGGTCAGCAGCCGTTTAGCCTCCGGTAGGTCTTGGACTGTGTGGATCATATTGTCCTTTAGGACCTGTAAGGCTCTTGGCGTGCGCCATCGATAGGTGATATCATTTTGTCTCAGGAGTGTCGTGACTGGTTGAAGGGATCTGCGCCACTGCATGGTATCTCCAGACAAGTCTGAAAAGAAGGTAAGGTTGGCATTTTCGAAGTTGAGCGGGGTCTTCCCCTGCAGGGCCTTAAGCATGGCCACTTTGTCTGCTCCAGATCGGAATCTCACCACCAGGTCCCCGGAGACCGTGGCTGGGGCCGTCCTCAGTTTGGGGATTCTAAATATCGCCTCAAAGCTCAAGGCTTTCGCTTGTTGCGGCTTCAGTAGTGTTCCCGCGAGTCACCTCACCAGGTGTGAGGGTTCTTCTGGCAAGACTTCATCTGGGACGCCTCGGATCTTGAGGTTATTGCGGCGTCTTTGATCCTCAAGGGCCGCAAATCGGTGGTCCGTAGTTGCTTGGTGCTTTTTGAGCGTTTGTAGCTCTTTGCGTAGGTCCGCAATTTCTTGGGCCTGCTTGTCTGTGTGGGCCTCTATGGCTCCCATGCGCCCGATCAGGCCTGTCACCTCCGCCCGGAACTGTGCAACATCTGCCTGGATCACCCGCTGTAGGTCACCCAGTATTGTTCTCAGCGTGTCTGTTGTGATCAGTTCAGGTTGCTTTGTGGGTGCGGGTGGTTGGGTCAGTGGGGCGAATATGCCGCTGGTGTACTCATCTAGGCTCAGTTCGTCCGAGGAGTCTGAGTACCCCGCCATGTCGGCGGCCATTTTGGCCCCTCGTGCGTCTTGTGCCTGGCGGAATATGTCCCCGATATCGGGTCCCAGTTTAGGCTTGTCCGGCCTCTGCTTCTTCGCTTTTCGTCCCATGGTTCTGATGGGCCTGTGGGATCGATTTTGGTTTCGTTATTTTTGTGAAATTCGCGTTTTTGTCAGATATGGATGAGGAGCTCGTTGATCGTCCGTCTGTTCCTGTTGGCTGCTAGGCTCCGCCCTACAGCCACTTTAATTTTGAATAATAATTTTTCATTTTTAATTTAAATTTGAATAAGAACAATGGGAATATAACTGAAACTTTAACAGGGTTTTTAATAGGGTTGACAGGAATTCAAAGTGCATTAAATGGCTGTTCCTTACCTGATTCCAGCGCTGGTGAAAATAATGAAATCTGCAAATGTAGCTGCATTGCGGTTTCCCACCGATATGTGCTGAACATCAGGACTTAGTTGTAATCCCTGGGAATCATTTGAGTACCAGGACAGAAATCAATAAATACAGGGGCATACCTGACAGGTGTCGTAGGGGATGATAAATTGCTGCCAAAATGCCACATTCACACATAGAGTATACTCAGAAGAGTATACTTCCTGCTCAGCTCCCTCCGCGCTGCTTACTCAAACCGGGAGCCGGAAAATTACGCCAGACCGGCTCCCGCATCACTAAGCTCCGCCTACTCTGCCTGTACGCCCCCTGCCTGCCCGCCCAGCAGCCACAATGGACAGGTAAGGAATCCACTCCAGCTGGGTGGCTTTAAAATAAAATAAAAATAATAATTTGTGAGTGTTGGGAGAAATGTGTATGTGTCTGTAAGTGTGTGTGTATGTGTCTGTAAGTGTGTGTCTGTAAGTATGTGTGTCTAAGTGAATGTGTGTGTCTATAAGCGTGTATGTGTGTGTGTCTGTAAGTGAATGTGTGTGTCTGTAAGTGAATTTTTGTGTGTCTGTAAGTGTGTATGTATCGGTCAGTGAGTGCGTGCGTCTGTCAGTGTGTGTGCATCTCTCAGTGTGTGTCCAAGTAATAGTGTGTGTGTATGTCATTGTTTGTCAGTGTATATGAGAGTGTGCGTCTGTCAATGAGTGTATGCGTCTGTCAGTGAGTGTGCATCTGTCAGTGAGTGAGCGTCTGTCAAAGTGCAGCCTTGATAGGAAGGGGTGGGGAAAATTTTAATTGGGGGAGGGTGGGGTGCCCGAGCACCGTCCTGCCTAGTGTAGCCCAAATCCTAAATACACCACTGGCCATATGAATTAGGATTAAGAACTTGGTGGTGTTATCAGAGGCCTCTCTGTGGGAACAAACCCTGTTTAGTCAGGGTTGATTTGGAACATTATATTTGGTAATAGGCACTTCAAGCTTTCAAAAGATGGGTATTATTTTGGACAGCAAGAGATCCTTAAATAATGGGTCAAGCTCTGTCTCCGCTCCTCCTCCACCAACATCAGTTGGTGTGAGGGACCTATTGTGTACATGTGGCAAGCTCAGTGCTCACATTATGACTACCCCATAGGAAAGAATTGAAACCAGCGTCAGTTAAGGCAAACAAAAGTCTACTAGTGACTTTTTAGACAGCCACTAGAGGTGGAGTTAACTCTGCAAGGTTATTATTGCAGTTTATCAATCACTGCAATAATTACAATTGCATTGTTAAAAGGACTGGGACAATGCACCCAGACCACTTCAATGAGCTGAAGTGGTCTGGATGCCTATAGTGTCCCTTTAAGAGTGAATTTTAAATGGAAGGACTAAATTTCAAACTGAAAACAGAATAGAATTTTTCCATTTCAGCTATCTTGGCTTATTTTTGTGCAATTTAGTTTGCATTCACTTCAGTTCACACTTTAGTAAAAAATGATGTCACTTTAAAAAAAAATATTGTAGGTAATTTATACTAATCAGTAAAGTAATATACAGGTAATGCAAGTCAATTATTACTACAAATAAATTATATAAGCCTTTTTAATGTAATGGGTTTACTGTGGAGCAAATGTTCTGTTTGCAATAAAATAGTAAATTAATTGTAAAACTCTCCTCTTTTAAAAAAAAATCTTGTCACTGTTATTTTCCAGACACATGCAAATTAACTCTCCTAAGTGCTGTGCTGACCGACTCATCATTATTAGGATTTATGTTGTTGTCAGGGTTAAGACACATAACCTATTTATCCACCGCAGGAAACATCAAAATCATAGCACAATGAATGCATAGACAGATGGTCCAAAGACCCAGCAAATGCTAACATGTCTATTTTTGGAGGTCATTCTGTTCACAGAGCAGGAATCAGCAAGCGCAAACAGAGACCAGCCGAGCAAGCACTGACTCGGAGACCTCATGACATTAAGCTAACATTAAGCTAATCTATGTCTTGCCATTGGCTGTTGGAATAAAATTATGGAGACAGAGAATAAATATAATATATTTACAAAAGTAGTTTAAATGTATTAGGTCCGGCGGTGTCAATACATTATATAACAGCTTAAGGCTTAAGAACATGAATATTGAATGAAAAGGCCATTTTGGTTTGATGTGTAATCACATGAGATATTGAATTCTAAAATCATGTTGCTACGGTTTGGGCTACTTGGGCACCCTTGAGTAACTCATGGTTTTAATGTGCATGCCTACATAGACTGTGCATTCTGCATACACCAGCAACCCTTCCTTCCTGAGAAGTATGCATGTATATTCCCTTTCCTCTATCTGACCACCATCTGCTGACTTTTGACATTGGCATACCTAAGACCCAATTGACACCACCGTCTGAACATCACTCTCACAGAAACCTCCAATGTCTTGACCTAGAGCATTTCTCCACTAATCTCCAAACTCTCCTTTTGCCTATCTCAAACCTCACCTGTCCTAGTTCTGCAACCTCCTTCTACAATTCCACCCTCTCCTCTCAACTAGACATCATGGCACCTTGTACATTTAAACGCTGCAGGCCCCCCCAACAACAACCAACAACAACCCTGGCACACCAAGCGCACTCGATACCTCTAAAAATGCTCCAGAACTGCTGAACGCTGTTGGAGAAAGTCTCACTGTGCGTCTGACTTTCTCAACTATAAATTTATGCTGAGCTCATACAGCTTGGCTCTTTCCTCTGCAAAAGTTAATTACTTCATTACCCTCATAACCACACTCTCCCGCGATCCCAAACGACTATTTCACACATTTAACTCTCTTCTTCACCCTGCTGTTCCTCCTCCACCTACTAACTTGACCGCCTCAGACTTTGCAACTCACTTCACTGACAAGATCTCTACAATCAGAGAAGAGATATCTCATCTTTCTTCTTCCCCTTATAATACTTCCCCTAACTTCACTCCCTCTGCTGTTCTATGTTCATTCGCACCCGCTACATTGGAAGAAGTTTCTGCTCTGCTCCAGTCCTCCCGCCCCACCACCTGCTCCCTAGATCCAATTCCATCGCATCTCATCCGTACTCTGTCTTCTTCTCTTTCTCCACCTCTCACTAAAATTCTCAATCTCTCTCTCTCCTCTGGTATATTTCCATTGCCCTTCAAACATGCAACTGTAACCCCAATTCTAAAGAAGCCCAATCTTGACCCTAACTCCCCATCCAACTATCGTCCTATTTTGCTACTGCCTTTTGCATCCAAGATCCTTGAAAAAATTGTGTATGCGAGATTGACAGACTTCCTTGAGTCCAACTCTCTACTAGACCCGCTTCAGTCTGGTTTCCGCGCTAAGCACTCTGTGGAAACGGCACTGACCAAAGTATCCAATGATCTACTTGCTGCAAAATCTCGTGGTCACTACTCTATCTTAATTCTCCTTGACCTGTCTGCGGCTTTTGACACTGTTGATCATCAACAGCTTCTTCTCATCCTCCGCAATATCGGTCTACAAGATATTGCTCTCTCCTGGTGCTCCTCCTACCTCTCCCAGCGCTCTTTCAGTGTTTCTTTCTCTGGCTCTGCTTCTTCTCCCCAACTCCTCTCTGTTGGTGTCCCCCAAGGTTCAGTCCTTGGTCCCCTACTGTTCTCCATCTATACTGCCTCCCTTGGTAAACTCATTAGCTCCTTTGGCTTCCAATATCATTTCTATGCAGATGACACGCAAATCTACCTGTCCTCTCCTGATCTCTCCCGTCCCTCTTGACTAGTGTCTCTGACTGCCTCTCTGCTGTTTCTAACTGGATGGCTGCCCACTTCCTTAAACTAAACTTGACCAAAACTGAAATTCTGGTGTTTCCTCCCTCGAGTGTTGTTACTCCTGTGTCTCCCTTCCTCCAAGTCAACGGTGCTACCATCAGCTCCACCATGCAGGCTCGCTGCCTAGGTGTTCTCTTTGACTCCGACCTCACCTTCAAGCCTCATGTTCAATCTATCGCCAAATCCTGTCATTTCCATCTAAAAAACATTGCGCGCATCCGCCCCTACATAACGCCAGATGCGACTAAGGTGTTGGTCCATTCCACTGTCCTTTCTTGCCTTGACTACTGTAATCCGCTTCTCAGTGGTCTTATGTGCTCCCAACTAGCGCCGTTACAGTCCATAAAGAATGCGTCGGCGAGGCTCATCTTCCTGTCCGCACGCACCTCCCATGCCTCACCCTTCTGTCAATCCCTACATTGGCTTCCTATAAAATATAGAGCTCAATTTAAAATTTTGGTTCTTGCTTTCAAATCTCTACATAATGCTGCTCCCACCTATCTATCCTCCCTTATACACAAGTATGTCCCGTCTAGGCCCTTACGATCTGCTGAAGACTTACGTCTATCTTCTGTCTGTACTCCCACCTCTGGTGCTCGCCTTCAAGATTTCTTGAGGGCTGCACAGTTCCTGTGGAACTTGCTTCCCTCCTCCGTTAGATGCTCACCCAGTCTCCACTCCTTCAAAAAATCGTTAAAAACCCACTTCTTCATAAAAGCGTATCCATTAAACTGTTAATAGCTCCTGACTGATTCCTCTTCTGCAACTGTCATTAGTCTAATACTATCCTTACCTTTTTGTGTCATTTTACCCCACTCCCTCTAGCATGTAAGCTCATTGAGCAGGGCCCTCAACCCCTCTGTTCCTGTGTGTCCAACTTGTCTGGTTACAACTACATGTCTGTTCGTCCACCCATTGTAAAGCGCTGCGGAATTTGACGGCACTATATAAATATCATAATAATAATAATGGTGACACATGAGCGCATTTATGATGCTTCTCCAGTTTATCTTAATTGAACAGTCTTCAGTCTTCCAAGACTTCAATCAACAGTGTAGGCTGAAAAAAAAGTGTAAGAATTTTTCTGAGAAACTGAGGGCAAGTCAGCTGCAAAGATTAAAAAAAAACTATCCTCAAATATATCTGGCACAGAGGTAAGCTACAAATCAGTTATGATATCCTTATTCTGCCAAGGAGTGGGGACGTCTGGCTCTCCTGGACTTTAAACTCCATTATCAAGCCACACATCTTCCAAGAGTGGTGAAATGGTCCAAGTCTGGGGATTCCAAGTTGTGGAAGGAGGTGGAGGCTGTGCAGATCAGTTGGCCTCTGGTTGTGCTGACCTGTATAGATCAGTTAGAAGGGGCTAGATTCACAACCCCCCATCCCTTAATATTAGCTTCACTCTGTATCTGGCTTTCCATTGCTCCTTTCCATTTCCATTCTTGCCAGTTACATTTAATCCAGTTTTCCCCTGAGGTGCGGAGACTGATGCTTTTCAGAAGCTCTTAAGGGAACATCCCTCCAAATTTGACATGTGCCTCCAGAGGGTAAATTTCATCCCCTGGCCACATTGCTAGAACACAGAGACTTGAACTTTATGACACAATTTCTATATAGGCGGCTCCTGGAATTTTACTCATTGATCCCACAGCAACCACTGGCGGATCCAGAGCCTCGTCTCGGGAGGGGCACTCATAGATTATTTAAAGAAACAATCCAGGCACAATAACCACTACAGCTCTCTGTAATGGTTATGGTGCCAGGAGTGCTGTGGTGCCCTCCCAGAGTAAATAGTTAAACCATTTCAGAACAGTTTGACAATTTACCTGGGGCCTTCCAGGATAGGGCCTGTAGTATGGGGATAGGGCCTCTAGGTAGGTAGGTGTGTGTATGTATGTGGGACAGTGTGTGTATCTGAGACAGTGTGTGTATGGGGGTGCAGTGGGAGCACTATGTGTAGGAGGGGCAGTCTGTGTTTGTATGAGGGATGTAGTGTGTGCATGGGAGTGCAGTGTATATATGGGGTGCAGTGGGAACACTGTATGTATGAGGCCAGTGTGTGTATTAGGGTGTAGTGGGGGCAGTATGTGTATGGGAGTTCAGTGGGAGCACTGTGTGTATGAGGGTGCAGTGTGTGTGGGGGAGAAGTGTGTGTATGGGGGTACATTGGAGGCATTGTGTGTATGGGGGTGTAGTGGGGGCAGTGTGTGTATGTGGTGCAGTGGGGCATTGTGTGTATGGGGTGCAGTGGGGGCAGTGTGAGTATGGGTGTGCAGTGGGGGTAGTTGTGTATGGGATGCAGTTTGGGAAATGTGTGTATGGGGGATAAGTGTATGTATGAGGTACAGTGGGGGCGTTGTGTGTATGGGGGTGTAGTGTGTGTATGTGGGTGCAGTGAGGGTAGTGTGTGTATGGGGGTGTAGTGGGGGTAGTGTGTGTATGGGATGCAGTTTGGGAAATATGTGTATGGGGAAAAGTGTGTGTATGGGGGTACAGTGGGGGTAGTGTGTGTGGTGGGGCAGTGTGTGTGTAGTTAGGGGAGGGGGTTGATTAAAACAAATGTGTTGTTTTTTTAAATTAAAAATATATGCTTTATATCCCCCCTCCCTTCTTACCTTTGCCCAGGGACGGGGGATATTATTTCCAATCTCTGGTGGTCCAGTGGAATCCCTGGCAGTTCTAGTGGGGGAGTGAACTCTAGCCTGCACCTACAGGGCTAGAGTTCACTCTCGCGAGAAAGGAGCGTTGCCGTGGTAACCACGGCAACGCTGCGTGCTCGCGAGAGGAGACCATGCGGAGCTGCAAGCTACAACTCCCGGGTCTTCTCTCCCTCCCTGGGTGCAGTGAGCCTTAACCCTGCAATGTTAATTAATGCAGTTTCTGAGAAACTGCAATAATTACATTACAGGACTAAGGCTGTCTCTAGTGCCTGTCAATCAGACAAGAGGAACTTCCTGCTTGCTAGGCGACTTGTGGTCGCCTAACTGACACTGGAAATCTTTACACCCTGCATGAGGACATTCAGCATCAATCAAATCCCCATAGGAAAGTTTTGCAGCATTGCCTATGGTAAGGGTGCCTAGGCACCCACCGCCCATGCACATTAGTGCCCGCCCCCTGGAGGAGGAGGAGTGCTGATTCAGTGCTGACCGGATTATTACAGTAAGGGTTTATTAACCCTTACAGTGCTGGGGGAGGGAGGTTGTGGGAAGTATTTTGCTAGGAATACAAATTTGTATCCTTTAAATTTAAATAAACGTGTTTAGAAATCAGTCTGTGTAAATAAGATACATTGTTCTAAATTACATTCTAGTTGCATATATTGTTATTAATAATTCACCTACAATTTATCTCAACTGCCCTGCCCCTGGCCACACCCTCACTCACACCACTAAAATGAAAGTATCCCTCTTTGGCCATTTGAAATGTTGGAAGCTATGCACTTCCATCATTCTAAGTAGCTCTCTTGTTAAGGTTTCAAAGTGTAAAATCTAACAAGAAAGGACAAATAGGGGAGTGTTATGATTTATTAGAGTGGCTGTGCTTAAAGGAACACTCCAAACATCTAAACACTTTAGCTTGCTGAGGTGATTAAAGTGTAAAGAGTGTGTCCTTTTATCATTTTACAATAGAAATTAGCACTTGTAAATTAACCTTGTTACAACCCCCACATCCCAGCTCAGTAGTGCTAAATTCAAGATGAAAAAGTTGCCAAGAACTACTGTCTTGCAAAGACTTCCTATTGAACTGCATTGAACAGCCACAGAAAGCCCCTGGATGGGGTAAAAGGGGAGTGCTTGCAAGCTGCCCGAATATATTTTTTTGTGAGATCTTATCTCAGGAGACTGCCACTATATTTGAATTCTCTATTATTCGTATTGTCAGGGTTATTTACTAAAGCGAGGATTGGCGGAATCTCTAAGTGAAATTCAAATTTAGAGCTAAAATAGCTGATTTGGAAAAAGTCAGTTATGATTTCAAATTGCCTTTGAATTCATTAGGAGAGAATTCTCACCTTATCCCTGGTAATATTTACTTTTTCTGTTTTCCTGCATTGAATTCCCACTGTGATACAGACTCTTACAAAAGTGAAAGGACGTAATATAACATACCTGCTGTTGATGAACACACGCTCTCACAGGATATATACCAAGTTCAGGAAGGAATAGTGTCAGGGAGCAGGGCCGGCGCAACCATAAGGCAGAGAGAGAGAGACAAACACAGAGAGGAAGTTGAGAAAGAGAAACTCAAAAAGGGCTGGGAGAAAGAGACATACAGAGGGGATGCAGAAAAAGAGACAAGTTGCATGGGGGAAGAGACAAACAGAGGAGCCAAGGAAGCGGAAAAAAGACACAAAGGGACATGGGAAAAGAGACACACAGAGGGGCTGAGGAAGGGGGGAAAAGAAACAAAGGGACTGGTGGAAAGAGACACAGAGGGGATGCAGAGAAAGAGACAAGTTGCATGGGGAAAAGACACACAGAGGAGCCGAGGAAGCAGAAAAAAGACATAAAGGGACTTGGGGAAAGAAACACACAGAGAAAAGGAAGAAAGAGACACACGAAGGAGCCGGGAAAGGAGGGAAGAGACACACAAAGGGCTTGGGGGTAGAAAGGGACACACACAAAAGGGCTTGGGGGTTATGAGACACATAAGGGGGAGTAGAGAACACACAATCAAGGGTAGTAAAAGAAACACAAAAGAGGATACGATACACTATTGGGATAGGATACACTAAAAGGGGGTAAGACATTACAAAGAGGGGATAAAAAATACAAAAGGGGTAAGACGTTCAAAAGGGGGGTTAAGAGACACACAACTGAAGATGCATGTTTTGATGGTGGTGGTGGGGGCAGCAAAGTGCATCTTTCCCTGTGTAACCAAAATCCTTCCACCACTGGCCCTGTCAGGGAGCAGTATACAGACCTGTTACTGTTCTGAAAATATATTGATTGTTTTGCTAGTATTCTCCTGATTTGACCATGAGACAAGGAAAGGCTGCCAGCTAGATCAACATCTACCAAAGTGTAGCTCTTGGCTACTTGTGCTCCCAAGCCGAGACCTGCCATGCACACAATATTAAATGTTATAAGTATGGAAGCATATAGTAATTGGTGACTTGCAGTTATAGGTACCTGCATTCAAGATGCTGTGGAATGTATTTTCCACAATTATCCACTTTTGGGTGTCTGAGAGTAATGGGAATAACAGCACAGATAAATTCCTTTGTCCATAAAGATTAGGAGGTATACCCACTCTCTAAGGAGGCTGATATACACTCCGAGTTAGGACCACCTAAGAGGTCTGCCTTGACGTGGCAGCTGGGCATACCCTCTAATGGCCTTTGGAGATAACTTAAAACCTCCATTTATTTACAAATACATAGGGATATGAAAAAAGTGCAGGTAACTTTTTTTCTTTGGTTTTTACTATATGTATTTTGGCTGATGTGTACTATAGTCATTGCTGGGCCCAGGAGTAATGGGAGTTTGAGCGCAGGACTAGTTTCTTTATATATGCTATATAGTAGATTATAATTTGCTATGCTGAGTATATTATAAACTACTTTCCTTTGAAGGCAGCACTCCCATAGACACTTTAAAATTATCTGATTAACAGCAGTTTTTCATAGTAAATAAAAAAAAACCTTTATTTACTTACCTTACCCCAGCGACGATGTCCTCCTTCCCACGACGAGTGTATTCTAATGTACATACGCAGCAAACAGGGCCAGATTAAGAGCCCAGTGGGCCTGGTGCTGACAATTATGACGGGCCTAATTACAGAATCATATCGACCAAAAACAGTAAAACACTCCCAAGCATCATGTATCTGATGGAGATAGTGCTGGAGAGAAAGAAAACAGCAGCTATAAGAAAACACATACCCTAGGCTAATCTCTCACTAATTTATGTTTTCATCTTTCAAGTAAATCCATAACCCCTAACAGCAGTGTCCAGTCAAGCAGGAAGTCAATGGGCACGGTAAAAGTGTGTGCCACTGACACAAATCACGTAACCTGCCAAAAGGGGAGAACATGCCCCAAAAGAGGATATGTCTGCCCAAAGAATTAGAAGGCCAGCCTGGTATGAATGCATGTCAGGCTGCCTGCCAATCATGCAGCTGGCCAACTAAGTGCATACTATGCAGACAGCACCCTGAGCTTGGCATAAATGCATCTAATGATGCACTCGCTCAATGCTTTCTAAGGACTGTCCCCTAGCACTCGCTGGTCCACTTGTCCCCTTACCTTCTTACTAGCAGGCAGAAGCTCCTGGTATATAGTTTGGGACAGAGAAAAGCTGTATGTAGTGAGTGTAGAAGAAAGGGAACATGCCACAGGGTTAGAGAGAACAAAGTCAGCATTACCTTAAAGGACCACTCTAGGCACCCAGACCACTTCAGCGTAATGAAGTGGTCTGGGTGCCAGGTCCCTCTAGGATTAACCCTTTTTTTTATAAACATAGCAGTTTCAGAGAAACTGCTATGTTTATAAATGGTTTAATCCAGCATCTAAAGCCTCTAGTGGCTGTCTCATTGACAGCCGGTAGAGGCGTTTGCGTGCTTCTCACTGTGGAAATCACAGTGAGAAGACGCCAGCGTCCATAGGAAAACATTATAAATGCTTTCCTATGAGACAGGCTGAATGTGTGCGCAGCTCCTGCCGAAGAGGATGATGGGAGGCGGAGAGGAGGAGGAGAGCTCCCTGCCCGGCGCTGGAAAAAAGGTAAGTTTAACCCCTTGCCTCTCCCCAGAGCCCGGCGGGAGGGGGTCCCTGAGGGTGGGGCACCCTCAGGGCACTAAAGTGCCAGGAAAGCAATTATGTCAGGAACACAAACATGAATTCATGACCCTATAGTGTTAACACCACCATCTAGCCCCCCTGGGTCCCTCATGCCTCCATAAATATAGCAAAATTTTACTGTATTCAAGCCTGAAGCTGTAACTCTGCATGCTGTTAGACTCAGAAAAACAAGCAGTCTGCTGACATCATTAGAGGTGGTGGCCTAATCCAATCACAGTGCTTCCCCATAGGATTGGCTTAGACTGACAAGGAGGTAGATCGGGGCAGAGCCAGCATGATTCAAACACAGCCCTAGCCAATCAGCATCTCCTCATAGAGATGAATTGAATCAATGAATCTCTATGAGGAAAGTTCAGTGTCTGCATGCAGAGGGAGGAGATACTGAATGTTTGGATGCATTTTAGACAGCTATGACCCAGGAAGGATCTCTACCAGCCATCTAAGGAGTGGCCAGTGAAGTTATCACTAGGCTGTAATGTAAAGACTGCATTTTCTCTGAAAAGACAGTGTTTACAGCAAAAAGCCTGACGGTAATGATTCTACTTACCAGAACAAATTCAATAAGCTGTAGTTGTTCTGGTGACTCTAGTGTCCCTTTAACTATATTCATTGCCAGCCAGTCCACACAAGTTTTGTTCCCATACATCCCTCTTAAGTTTCCATACTTAAGTAAGAGTATGTGAAAAGTAGTTAGGGTTGCCACCTTTTTTGGAAAAACATACTGGCCTTGCTAATTTGCATAATTAACTATGTATGGATGACATCACATGATGTAAATCACAAGGAGTGACATAAGAGAAAATATAGATGCATTCCTCTCAGTGGCCCCATGTCTCCCAGTGCCCCCATTTGTTGATTACTCCAGGTCTCAGTGTTCCTATGCATCAGTGTCTCAGTGCCCCATGTCTCCCAGTGTCCCCTAGTGTCGTGTCCCCAGGTCTCCCAGTGATCCTATGTTTTACAGTGTCTCAATGCCCCATGTCTCCCTGTGTCCCCATGTATCCCAGGGTCCCCATGTCACTAGGAAGACGGGATGACCTGGGGACACGGGGAAGACCTAGGGACACGGAGACACCAGTGACACTGGGAGACTAGGGGACTCTGGCTGGGACGCATGGGGACACTGGGAAAATAGGGGACACTTGAAGACATGGGGACACAGACACCAGGGACACAGACACTAGAGACACTGGCTGGGGGACATGGGGACATTGAGACATGGGGGCACTGGGAGACATGGGGACAAGGAGACACCAGGGCCACAGACACTAGGGACACTAGCTTGGAGACATGGGGACATTGAGACACTTGAGGCACTAGGAGACATGGGGACAGTGAGACACTGGCAGACTGGGGGCACTGAGAGACATGGGGACACTGTGTCCCCATGTGTCTGTGTCATAATGTCTCCCAGTGCCCATTAGTGTCTCAGTGTCTCCATGTCTCCTTGCAGCCTTCCCCCCATCCCTTACTTCCCTGAGCTGTAGGCTGTCTCTGCAGAGTGGGAGTTGCTGTCTGGACTCTCTGTAGCTGCACCCCTGCAGATCAGTGAGTATAGATAGGCAGGGAGGGATATGCTGCAACTTCCTATCCCTGCCTGTCTCCACACACAGTGACCCCTACTGGCCAGTGCTGGTATTGCATAGTAATCTCTTTTTACTGAGAAAAATACCAGCATTTGTATTGCCAGTATCACTGTAATATTGGCACCAGCCAGGAAGCCTCAAATACTGGCTGTGCCAATAAAATAAAAGCCAGGTGGAATCCCTAAGAGTAGTGTGTGGGAAAAAAAAAATGTAAAAAAAAATAATAATAATTTTTTTTTTTTTTTTAAATAAAATTAATGGGCCTTTTCCATGGGCCTGGGCCTGGAGCTGCAGCTCCATCAGCCCCTATGTTAATCCGGCCCTGGCAGCAAATGCTGCACGCTTATAGACCTCCCCATAGGAAAGCATTGAATCAATGCTTTCCTATGGGGTAAAATCTGATTCCGGGTTTCCTTATGCAGAACGTGAGGACGTCCAGCGTCAGATACAGGACCAAAGGTCTGTTTGGATTCAGAAAATCCCTGAAGGAGAAAGCCACTGGAGGCAGACTTAGTGCTGCAATGTAAACATTGCAGTTTCTCTGGAACTGCAATGTTTAACATTGCAGCACTAAGTGCAATAGGGACACTGTACCCAGACACTTCAATGAGCTGAAGTGGCCTGGGTGCCTATAGTGTCCCTTTAACTGAAATATCTAGAATGATGAGAACTCTGGATTGTGTAATCTAGTGGGCTTTTAATGACATGAACTAACACTGCTTGAATTTTATGCTGGGTAACAAAGGGTTACTCTAGTCGTTCTTAATTTTTCTCTAGCTCTATTGCAAAGCTAGCAAAGACGTGATGTAAACAAAGCCAGCACAGCACAGGTGCCAGAGGACATGACGAGAGCTCCTGTCAGTCTGAAGATCATACTTGTTGTCATAGTACTGGCACAGTTTCTCATTTTCCACAAGGAAGCAAAGGATTGACCTTAGCAATCATAAAAGGCCAAACAGCTAGTCAGGGATGACACACAGGATATACTGCTGGTGTATTTAGAATTCATTGCACATGCAGGCCTAGCATTCTGCTAAATTATTCTATTGGCCTTGTGTCTTTAGAATATTCTCTGAATTCAGGAAATTGCAATAGATGCTTGTCTTAACTGTACAATTTAGATGAAACTAATTTGATATTGATTGAAATGACAAGAGTCCATGTATGAGCTGTGATATATTTATGCTATGTTATTGCCCTAGGCTTAGACATTCCTCTGCTACCCTCTCCCTATACATTTCACCACACTAGGACTAAATCACATACCTTACACTTATGTACAAGTGTAGTGAGTGAATTTGCCAGCGTATTACAATGTATAAATGTATATTATTGTATGTGTTAATCCAAATAATTATAATCATTATTTCAGATATCCACACCTTTGTATTAGGGGGTTGTTTAGAGATTTTGCTACAAGACAGAGCATTACCAAGAATATTTAGGATGCATTATCACCCCTTTATGTATATGAGTGTGTGTTAGTGTGTGTGTGTGTGTGTGTGTGAGTGTGAGTATGAGTGTTTGTATGTGTATGAGTGTGAGTGTTTGTATGTGTATGAGTGTGAGTTTGTGTATGTGTATGTGTGTGTGTATGTGCATCTGTGTGTGTATATATATGTCAGTGTGCATCTGTGTCTGTGTGCACGTACTCATCTGTGTTTGTGCGTCTGTGTGTCAGGGTGTGTGTTTTTATGTCAGTGTCTATCTGTGTCATGGTGTGGGCATGTATCAATGGTTTTGTGTGTCAGGTTGCATGTGTGTATATGTTGGTGTGTATCTATATGTGTGTATGTGTTGGTGTCTATATGAATTTGTGTGTATGTGTTGGTGTATGTATATGCATCTGTGTGTTAATGTGCATATATCTGTGTAAGTATGTATGTATGTATGTATGTGCATACATCCAAGCAGTCAAGCACCAGCACAACATACAAGCACACTCCTGCAATCTAACACAAATATTACATACAAACACACCCCTTAACTCAAACACAAATACGTCACACAAATGTACATTTACATTTAAAAGTGAACATTACATTCAGACACACCCCTGCAATCAAACGCAAACATTACTTACAAACACACCTCTGTATTAAAACACAATCACTATATACAAGCACCCCTTCAAACACCAACATTGTACATTACACTATAGCGCCAGTAAATGCCGCAGCGCTGTACAGATATACAACCTAGAAATTTGACTTGTGTGCCTTGGAAAAATACTGAAATATTAAGGGCGCCTTGAATCTAAAAAGTTTGGGAACCACTGGACTAGAGTTTTGAATGGCTGTCCTACAAAAGAGAGTGGTATGTGG